TATTTAGTATTTAGAGAAAAATCGTATCACAAATGTATCGAAAAATTATTTCAACTTTAACCCCAAACTTATTGTCGGGACGTTTAGGCAAAGTTTTCATAATTCGAGAAATGAAGTGAGTTTCGAGTCATTTAATAATTTAAATCCAAGTGATTTTAATGTGTTTTTACAATTTGTAAATAGATATTAATGAATGAAAAAGAAATTCGTAAACAATTAGAAGATATGCGACGATCGGCAGGAAGTCGTTTGGATCTAAAAAGAAAGCCCAGCAATGAATCGGCGATTAGTAGTGACATTCAAAGCAAAGAAATGCAATTTAAAAATTTACTCTTTGAACGCACGAGAGCTGTCATCCCGCGAGATGCCAAACGCGTCAAATTGGATGCCATGAGAAGAGAGCGGGAAATGAAAGAACAAGAATTGATGCGTTTGGAGAAAATGGCCAAAACTCAACAGTTGGAAGAGGTCTGCCATCAGATAATTGTTTGGAAATGTTTTTAAAAATTATTGTTATTTTAAAGTCTCGGCGAAAGAAACGCGAAGAAATCGAAAAGCAAAGACAGGACGAGATTGTGAGGAAAGTTCAGGAAAGAGAGCTAAAGAGACAACAAATGGAAGTAATGCGCGAACAAGAGATTCAGAGGCGAAGAGAGCTGTTAATAATGGCTGATCTCGAAAGGGAAAGACGGCGCCAACACATGCTATTAGTGCGCGCTCTCGACGCCCATAAGAAACAGGAGGAAAAGGAACGCAAAAAAGAGGAGATTTTAGCCGAAAGGCTGAGACTTCAAGAGAAAAAGATTCAAAAGAAGAGACTTGAAATGGAATTATTGCGCGAATTAAAGAAACCGGTGGACGACATGATGTTAAAAGATTTGCAGCCCTTTCCCACACTTAACAGAATACCTGGTCTTAAGCTTCCGGGAAAGGCATTCGCGGACACTCTTATGGTGTTTGAATTTCTACATAATTTTGGTGAAACCTTGGGCTTTGATATGGACAGTCTTCCATCACTGAATACTCTAACTCTGGCTCTTCTCAACATTGACGACAGCGCTGAAGACGAATTGTTATCAATTATACACCACTTGTTGGTCTGTGCTATTGAAGACCCGGGACTTCCCGCTAATATCACAACAGTTATGGGACAGAAGCTTAAAGACGCGCCAATCACTAACTATAACATCACAGAAATTAATGCGCGAACAAGAGATTCAGAGGCGAAGAGAGCTGTTAATAATGGCTGATCTCGAAAGGGAAAGACGGCGCCAACACATGCTATTAGTGCGCGCTCTCGACGCCCATAAGAAACAGGAGGAAAAAGAACGCAAAAAAGAGGAGATTTTAGCCGAAAGGCTGAGACTTCAAGAGAAAAAGATTCAGAAGAAGAGACTTGAAATGGAATTATTGCGCGAATTAAAGAAACCGGTGGACGATATGATGTTAAAAGATTTGCAGCCCTTTCCCACACTTAACAGAATACCTGGTCTTAAGCTTCCGGGAAAGGCATTCGCGGACACTCTTATGGTGTTTGAATTTCTACATAATTTTGGTGAAACGTTGGGCTTTGATATGGACAGTCTTCCATCACTGAATACTCTAACTCTGGCTCTTCTCAACATTGACGACAGCGCTGAAGACGAGTTGTTATCAATTATACACCACTTGTTGGTCTGTGCTATTGAAGACCCGGGACTTCCCGCTAATATCACAACAGTTATGGGACAGAAGCTTAAAGACGCGCCAATCACTAACTATAACATCACAGAAATATTGAGACTTTATTTCCTTTCGTTTGATTACAACATCAGAGATGACGCAAAAGAAACGCGAACTGAGAGCCGAATGGCGAAGCTCTTGCACAAAGCCATCCCTTTTCTTGCACTGAAAGCATCAGAAAAGGCTGAAATTCTGGCCTTTCTTTGCAATGAATTGCTTTGTAATCAAGCGATTGTCAAACAAATCGATGACAACATTGAAACGGTTGGTTCCATCAGAAGAGACAAATGGGTCCACGAAAACGAATTGAGAAAATGGAAGACAATTAAAGCGAAACGAGAGAAGAAGAGTCAGGAAGAGAAGGAGAAGATGGAAGAGAAGGAGAGGATGGAAGACAATAAGAAGACTGAATTGGAAACGGGAGACGACGAAAGCGGTGACAGCGATGCCGAAGACACTCAAAACGGATCCATCACTGCTGGCAATGATTCTGAAGACGAACCCGGGCTCACGAATGAAGAGATCGATAAAAAGATCGATAAATTGAATAAACAGTTCAATCAAATGAACAATAAATTAAATAAAGCTATCAATCAGTATAGAGTGAGTCCACTCGGACAGGACAGGTATCGCAGGAGATATTGGGTTTTGCCGAACGCCGGAGGAGTGTTTGTCGAGGGAATTGAATCCGGAGAACCCGAAGAACTTCAGAATAATGA